TAATTTAAAAAAGAATAATCCATGCAGAGTGTGTAAACATTTCAAAATTATGAGTTGAAAACACTGACTTCACGAGATTAAATATTAGAGCCTAAGAAAGAGCGGAGCGGCGCGTGCTGCCAGCACTAAGCGGGCACTGGCGCCTGCAAACCTACAGGGATACTTCAAGCATTGCGCAATGAGTGAAGTACTGAAGTATCCTCGTGGGTTCGTCGCGCTGACAGCACGCCGCCGCTTCGCTCTGTGTTAGACTCTAATATTTAAACTCGCAGAGTCAACGTTTTTCAAATTATGTTTTTGAAAAGTTTGCACACTCTGCATGTATTGACGTTATTTTATCCACGTCGATTTATCTCAATATCATCGGATAAAAAATTGCGATTAATCACGATTTCTTCGCATACATTTGCGATAATATCGCGCTTTTACTAAAGGCAATTTATCGCAATATTACAAGACAAAAAACCGTGATAAATTGAAATAAAATTTCGATTTTATCGAACGCAATCTTATAGATATGAAATTGCTACATGACCGAGGATAATCGCTCAGACGTTGATGATCCTAGCGATTTTAGCGCTAAAATATCGTGATAAATCGCACCTTAATTTTAAAGAAATTGCAATTTTTCTCTTGAAAATTGCTAGTCAGGGAGCTGGGTCCGATATGAACAGATTTCATTGTATTTTGAATCCACAGCAATTCAACGGTGAAAGTGTCAGACAACGTATCTCGTTCCTGTCATACTTCATTTTTTACACAGAAAACCACTCGACGTCAATTTTTGACAACTTCCGTGATTTTTCTTTTCTGTGTGAGGTATACTCTGTGGAAATCTCAAAGAATGGAATTGATTTGTTCACCGTCCGAACAATAAAATGGGCGCAGAGATTTTTAAACACTGCAAATGAGATACGTGGTCTGGTAGTTTCACCGTCGCATTATGAGGTAAGGAAAAAATCACACGGAGAAGTGCACTGCCGCATACTTAGGATTATTGGAGTGGATGCGCGGCCAGAGTGCAAATAGTGATGAGTGGGTACGAGAGCAATCGCCTCGGAATAAAATCTGAAATTGTCTGCGGCGAAATGTGCACCACAGCAAATACCTAATTTATTAACATATTGACTCTAATTAAAGATTCCATGTAAAGTACTTTATCGGTAATTTGACGAAAATTGTCCAACAATTTTATCAGTCACAGTTGGGTCCCAAAACCGAATCCTCTAACATTTGAGTCGAGTGCCTATCTCACTAATTGTGAGCTACAGCCCTATGTGTTGTCTCTTATTGCGATAAGACAATGGATGAATGAATCTGACGAAACACTTGTCGCAGGCAGTCAGCAATCGCAGGCAATTTGCATGTGGCAAGTGTTTCAACTCGTCGAATTGCAATGATTCGCATGGACATAGTAAGAGATTTCATTTCACAAAAAACTTTAAACCACGACCTCGACTCGGAGCGCCTTCAAATCTTGTGATACTTTCCGCGTTGCTTGGCAGTTAGTTTAGTTGCTTAACCAAACCAACCCCAATTAACATCTTTGATTTCACTACAGGTACTCGCGAGAATGCTGGCTGGAACCATGCATTCAAGAAAAAGAACACCTGCCTGAATTTCAAGCATAACAATGAGCAATTTCTACATTTTTCTTTACCATTAAATGTCTACATTGATTTATCCAACACAAGTATGTTGTCATTTGACGGCGATTGTTATTTGCCTGCGACCTATACAAAGTGTCCCAGACCATCCTTACCAGGATTTTTCCTCGGTTATCTTAGGTCACACGAAATCTAGGACGACACGGAGGCATAGAGAATTAATCTCAAAGAATCCGAATTTCATTTTCTTGTAGCCTCACCCCGGTCGCAATCAGATCCGGCTGATATTTTTTGTTGGCTCATTTCATCCTAAAAGGCAACTTTGGGTCAGACCTTTGATTTTCGAAAAGTCAAAAATAAGAACCATCCGATTGTTTCCACTACAGAATCTTTACTAAAAGTTTCAAACTCGAATTTGTCCTAATGATTAAATATGTTAGTTTAACGTGATGGTTTAATCCTATATTGTCAACATGTCAACATCCTACCTTATCATCTTAACAGGAATCATCGAAAAACTTGACTACATCAAAGAGCTAGGAGTAGATGCAATTTGGATTCAGCCGGTGTATAGATCTCCTATGGTTGACATGGGATATGACCCTTTAACCATGAGAGAAATCGACCCAATTTTTGGAACCCTAGAGGACATGAAAAACCTTATTCGAGCATCACACGATAGGGGTGAGTAGTATGAAGCTCTAATTTGCAAAGTGTGAATGAATAAAATATTGCTGAGTGATATTTCTTAATTTATTCTAGTCAAAAAATGTCACACACAAATATTTCAGTCATTTACTTGAGGTGTACTTCTTCTTTCTCGATGGTAATGGAGGATCACACGCGAAAATTAATGCTAGAAAAATAGCTCTTTTTTATGGTAAATGAATTACTTGTTAATTGTTGGATTTAAGATCCATGCTTATGAATAAAAATAAGCAATCAATATCAATATCTCAGATTTGAGCCCTTACGATATTTTGTCTGTTTAAGGAGAAAAATTTTAAAACCTTCTTTCAGGGACCCTCACTCTCTGATGCGGTTCGCAAAGGGCGCTGCGAATTATTCAACTACAATTCAGACACAGCTTCAATACTACTATTCCTATATAATACTTTTTGTAACATGACTTTATTCCCTGTTTTGAAATGTTTGCAGACTTGAAAGTAGTGATGGATATTGTGGTGAATCATTTAAGCGACCAAAGCGATTGGTTCAAACGCTCTGTGAATAGAGAGGATCCATTTACTGATTATTTTATCTGGCACGATGGAAAGCGAATCAATGATACTCACGTAGTTGAACCAAATAATTGGGTCTGTCTATATCCTCGGATTATTTAATATAATCCATCACTAACCAAACCTTTTTCAGGAAGTCAGAATAACTACGTAATATGCAGTTTACTTCAGAAATCTACATATCGAGGGTGTAAGTCGGCAATCACATAACTCGTTTTCGGTGTCTGAAAATCTCCGTCTCTTTGTTATTTTTTTTAAAGGAAAACAAATTTACATCATTCCTTGAAGTTTTTGCAGAATTATCTCCGCACAGAGAAGAAAAATCACGGCAGTTTTAAAGAATTGTCGTTGAGTAGTTTTCCGTTTAAAAAATAAAGTATGTCAGGAAATCTGCGACGTCGCAAACCGAGTTATGTGATTGCCGACTTACACCGTCGATATGTATATAATTGAAAACACTCACCGTTAAAAAAAACGAGGAAAGATATCAATAATTAAATCATGGATCAAGAAAGTAGAGGTATTCAAATATAGTGTGTAGTTTGTAGTATAGAAGATTTACGCCCCAGAGCCTCTGTGAAGTCGTATTTTTCCGCTTCCCAGGCTTCTCAAAAAACTTCAAATAATAAAATATGAATTTAGATCTATTCTACACTTCAGATTTGTACGTTCAAATTAATCGTGAAAAATCGTTGGTTTATAAGTATGGACAGATGAAAATATTGCAGCATTTTAAGCCTATGAGCTTTTTCAGCCGTTATTATAGCCCTATTGTTTTCAAAAACGTGATATCTAGAAATCGACCTTACCATACTTTCATTCGACAAAAATAAAGCGATTATATATTCATTTTAGGTAAGTCTCTTTTCTCGGAGGGAATCTGCCTGGGCATGGAATGAAAATCGACAACAGTACTACTTTTATCAATTTTCCGAGCAACAGCCTGATTTAAACTACCACAATCCAAAAGTTCAAGAGGAAATGGATGTGAGTAGAGCAATACCCCCTATCCTTTTCCATTTTCTATGAGTAATGCATACTCTGTTTTATCTAGAAAGGATTTCTGACTCTGGAAGCAGATAATTATACGCGCCGACTCAAAAGAAGAAAACTTCACGAGCTTTGCACTTAGAGGACTTACCAGTGCCGAAGGGGCATCTATCATAAGGTATTTTGGGTAGTATATTTCGTAGCGCTGGCAGGATCGCTATCAGTGGCGGTTGGGTGTCGCAGAGCGCACAAAAGCACTATAAGAGTGACTTGTTAGTAGTTAAAGTAAATTTCGTCAATCGTGTCCAAGACAGAGAAGCTGGTTGTGGGAGCAGCGCATCAACGGCAAAGCATGGAGCTCGGAGATGGACGGCGCATCGAAGAGTGTGACGAGTATACTGCCGTGCTAAGAAAGAACGCCGTATGAACATTCGAGAGTTGCTAAATTTTATCCGAGAAAATGTTTATTCTTGAGGAAAGTTAAGAATAATTTTCCATGAAATATTCAGGCATTTTAGAAAAAATTACAAACCAAATTATCTAAGAAATTGACTGAAAAATATTCAAATATTTTCCTGTAAATCAGCGACTTGTCAAAGGAAATTTGGCAACGCCTGAAAGTTCATTCGGCGTTTTTCCTTAGCACGGCGCTTCCAGGACTTTATGTCCACCTACCTTTCGTCCATTAAATAAATGTCCACCGCTATTTATGCCCTCTAAACGTTAGGTCCAGTCTATATTAAGTCCACATGATTTAATGTCCAACCATGAATATTTCCGAAATTGTCCAAATTGTGGACATGTTATGTCCACATTTTTTTCTTCTCCTTTAAATGACAGGAACCACCTTAAAAATAAATGCATACTACTACTACCTTCATTCTTAAAAACATTTCATTCATGAATCAAGTCATGGAAGAAAACAGACTCTAATAGCAGATAAAAACATATGTTCATATGTACACTGTACGGATATGATAAGATGCAAAACCGAGGCGGGAGCCTAGGAAACGCTCCCATGCCAAATTAAACATTTTTCAGTAACAGATGTTGTCAAAAGTGAAAGTCCTCTTTAACTAGATATTTCGTGCGCCTTCAATCTTGTAGGATAGCCTCTGACGCGAAATAGTTGCTTAAAGCGTTGCGGCGTGGCAGGCAACCAGCGTGACACGCGCATAGGCGCCTACAAACCTAACGGGATACTTCACGCGTTGCGCAATGCGTGAAGTATCCCGTTAGGTTTGTAGGCACCAGTGCGCGTTCTGCGCTGCTAACACGCCGCTCCGCTCTGTGTTAGACTCTAATATTTAAACTCGCGGAGTCAACGTTTTTCAACTCATGATTTTGAAATGTTTGCACTCTCTGCATTGATTATTCCCTTCTAAACTGATGAAAAAGAAATATGTACTACGGGAAAATATAATGTGTTTTTTGTAAATATAAGAGTAGTTCCGTGTCAAATGTAATGATTTCCAAAGTATTCAAATTTATTATTTTATGTTTTGGGCTTTTACTGTGCTGCAGCGTGGTGTAAGCGCAACTAAACGCTCAAAATTGGACGTATTTGACTCAAGAAGGTCGATTCACAAATACGTCATAAACAAAAAATTGCGTGCTTCTTAGTTTTTTTCCTCTTTTATTAATTTTTGTATAGTTTCTTTCATCGCAACTACGGCTCATTGAGATTCATATCGATGCCATTGCTTGGAAAAGGTTTTACAAATATTTGCAACGTTTTAAAAATATAAATGTTTTTATAATGAAGTAATCAATTTCATTAAAAAAAAGAAAAAAAGAATGTACATTTAAGGCATTTTTTAAATCGGAAATTTCAAGGATAAAAATGAAACCGAGTATTTACCAAAGACAATTTGAAAAGATGAATCAAAAGAAGAAATTAACATTTCATTTAAAATATGAGTTACGATAACAACACCTTATTCTCTCTTAATTTTCTCATTTCGATATTGTCAATATAATTTTACACACGGACTAAAATA